CTATTCATGCAAGGGGATTGGCAAAATGATTTTGTTTTACTCCCAGCAATTTATTCTTCCTCCAAGATGAAAACATTCATGAATAATTATGAATCAAAGATAATCACAAACTTTCTCTTTTGACATTGATTTCAGGAACAGAAAGATTCAGGAAAGAAGGAGGTATCTCATGCAGAAGAGAAGTCAAGGAAGGTAAGTATGAAAAATGTTTTTTGAATTTGACAATAAGCAAGTTAGTGGTGACCAGTGTTATCAGTGAGGGCAGCTCATAGAGTGCTGAGGGGTGGATGGGCAATGAAGGAAAAAAAATTGTGCAGGCAGCTAGAGTAAGGCCTGGCCGCCTAAGGAGGTCATGTGCAATATGATCTTTCACTTTGAAACAGTAGAGAATAAGGACATTGGTGTGTATGCAGTAATGGTTGGGCAGGGCAGGGATTTGGGGATACACAAAGAGGAAATAAAGATGTACATAGGAACTGCCAAATTCAGAAAGAAAATGGAAAGGCCTCTTGGTAGCCATGGCAATATTCAGCTGGCACAGGGAACCCCAGTTGTTTGCAGGAGGAGAATAAATTGAAGGACTAGTGGTTAATGCATCTGGACTCTGGAATTCATGGGAAACACATTTTGTGACAGAGAAGCACAGAATTCAGGAAATACAGAATTAAGAAACCTAGGCTGTTTCACATTATACTCAGGCTCATCTTATAAACTGTCTAGGTAGTATATATAGCTTCCCAATCTATAAAACAGGGGCAACCAGTCCTTATCTAAGGGAGAATCCAAACATTCTTTGTAGTTTGGTGTTATCAGTAATAATGCTCCTTTACATGACATGGACAATTAGGAGCTCACAATGCTGTATATAAACTCTGGAACACTGTTAAAACAGGGAAAACCCTAAAATAGGATTAAAGAATAGTGTGCTCAAAACAAAACAAACAGCCCTGCCTGCTCCCAACTCAAACACACATCGATGGAGCATAATGCTTTCAAATTCAGTAGAGAAAAAAGGAAGGGATGGAAATGTCAACCTGAAATATTTTGTTCAATGCAATGGCAGAAAAAAAATACCAGGTAAGAAAACAACTCAAGAGAGTGGTTCTTCTAGATAACAACACCTACCCCCGAGAAAGAAAAGTAAAACATTAAATCCAAAGTTATGTACGCAAGAGAAAAAAATATTTTTAAAAGATGTTATTTATTTATTTTTAGAGAGAGGGGAAGGTATGGAGAAAAAAAAGGGAAAGACATTGATGTAATAGAGAAACATGGATCAGTTGCTTCTCGTCCCCAACCAGGCACCTGGCTGGCATGTGCTGTGACTTGGAATGAAAACAGCAACCTTTTGATTTGCAGGACAATGCCCAACCAATGAGCCACATCAGACAGGGCATGAGAAAAAGCCTTTATTTAACATTACTAGGTATGCCATTTTTAAAAGTTGACATTTTCCTAATGTAGGCTAAATAATGTTGAGCCATTGACAGGCTAGTGATCTTGGGCAAATCACTTACCAGTATATTTTTAGCATACAGATAATAATACAGACCCTGGGAGGAGAAGATGCTTTGGAAAGTACAAAGCAGTGTAACAACACTAGGAAAAGCATACCTTAGAGAAATCAGTTTGAGATAAATCAAAAAGGCTTGGATTGCAGGTGTGCAGGAGTGCTAGGTGTTGTGTAAATGTCCTAGTCAGTTCAAGAGGCCTTTGGCAAAGGAAAAGTATGCACTGTCCAGTAAGCTATGTGCTTGATGGAACGGCAGGCCTGCCAAGGGCTTCAGCATATCTTAGGGATGACCCGACATTTAGTTCCCTTGCCAGCTTGCAGAGACCGAGAGGAACAACTTGAAAACTAAGTGGGGCCCTCTTGTCAGCTAAGAAAAACAGTCTCAAATATTTCTGGCATCTGCACAAAAGGGGTTCTGAAGGGCTTCTCTGCAGGGTCAACAGTGTTGGGCCAGTTTAAACAATCCTGCCTGGCCCTGGGAATGGAGGGGTGTAGAGAGGATATTAAAAAGGGGCCCAGGGTCGCAGGCAGCTTCAGGCATCTGTGCTCAAAAGATCTGCCGCATAAGCACTGACCTCCTGATCTATGTGAAAAATAGGACATCCCTGATCTTGACTCATGAAATAGTTTTGTCTGGTTCAGTAACCTTGACAAATGTTCCCAGAAACTTCAGACTTCACAAATAAACTTTCAGAAACATGTTTAAATGTGTGGACTCTGAGTCTTTTAAATATTGAAGATAAATATGTGTGGTGACATTTTATTTTCCTCCATCCCACACCCCTTCAACCACTCATGTTGTCAAAGGAGAAGGAAGACTTAAGCTCCAGATGTTTGGAACCCCAATAAGGGCTCCTCACAGAGGAAATCTATTGCCTTCCATTTTCAAAGATAAAACTCAGCCAGGTGTTAAACAATCAGGTCATTGCAGGCATGTTTTCCAGGTGTAGGCCTAACCTTCATTGAGATATATATTAAAAATTTCTACTTTTAAAGGCTCCTGTACCCAAAAAACAGTCCAGAGCTGCCTTTCACTTTCCTGGCTGTGGGATCTGACCAAATGCTTCCTGCCCCCACAACCAATCAGGAAATACCCTTTTGTGTCAAACTTCAAATCTCACATGTTACTACTTGGGCCATTTTTATTTGCCATATTTTTGCAGATGTGAAGTAAGTCATTAAGAATCACCCCTTAGTAAAGTGGGTACAAGATGTGTCCAGGAAATTCACTGAAGAAACACAAACATGCAATGAATATGTGAAAAAATGCTTAAACTCACATGTAGCCTGGGAATTGGGATGATTTTCACCCATATTAGCAAGAATATCAAGTGCTGGCAAGGCCATAAAGATGTGAGAACTCTTATACAATGTTGATTTGAGGGTAAGGAAATTGGAATAGATACTTTTGGGGGTAATTGAGCACTATCTTTGAAAATTAAAAATGCCTGTTACACTTGTATATGGTCATTCTGATTCTTAGTATCTATATTGGAGGTGCATACAAGGTGGCCTGTTCAAGGATTTCCAGGGTAGCACTACCATTTTTTAAAATAGCAAGAATTTTAAAACGACCTAATTGTTCATCAAAATGGAATGTCTGGACTAAACTATGGGATGGAGATCTTAAAGGCATATTAAGTGAACAACAAAAGCAAAACAAAATAAGGCAGATATACATATATATCATTATATTTTGATGCAAAAACATAAAATGGAACTTTTTATACATATTTGCACATGTCTCTGCTTATGCACAGAAAAAAGACCAGAAAGACAATAACATGACTGAGAGAACATCAAGGGAAGGCTTTTGCATTGTCTTCAATGCTTGCTGTAGATGATTTGACTTTGGGTGGTGGACACACAATGCAATATACAGTCGCTGACAAAAGTAGGTTTACAGTTGTAATACAAATAAATAATACAATAATTAATAAATAATACAAGAATAAACTCTGTTTTGTGTACTCACAACTGTAAACCTATTTTTGTAAACCCCTATATATTGCATTGTGTGCACAGATCAGGTATAGAAATATGTACTTGAAACCTATATGATATTATTAACCAATGTCACCCCAATAAATTTAATTTAAAAAGAATGTATTCATATATTTATTGTCAAATTGTTTTTTCTAAAGTGTTTCTTGGTTGTAGATCAGAGGCAAGGGCATGGATCTTGGTGGCTACAGTGAACATGACTTAACTGGGAAACAGTGGTGGGTAAAGCAAATAGGAGAGAAACCAAAGGACCCAGGTAATAACTCAGATTTGTCACAAATTTGTTGTGTGATCCCAGGAAGCCATTTTCTCTTTTCAGATTCTCTGTATAATCAGTGGATAAGATTAGAAGTTCACTAAGATATCTTCTTTTTCTCATATTTTGTGATTCTCTAAATCTATGCCTTTTATGTAACATGGGTCTGGTTCTTTTGGATGGGGAGATGGCTTTTTATTCTCTTCTCCAAATCCTGGCATAGTTTGACATTTCACTTTACTGCAAATGGAAGATGATGAAAGAGAAGGTAGAGCAGTCACTCTGTTCCCTGTTTGGCTATGATTTTTAGGGTTTTGTTGACCTGTTTATGCTACCTTTCTTAGACAGTGTAAGCCCTTAGGCTTGTTTGTATGGTATGAAAGTGCAAATAAAATACTGGGAGTTGGAAAATCTCAGTTCTACTGTGGGGCCATAAATTCCGGAAATATGTATGTAGGTATGTATGCATGTATGTATATATTTATTTATTTTTACAGATTAAGTCCCCTTGAATACTTTTCTGAGTTATACTAAAGATGCAGGCTTATTTAGTGAAAATTAGAGATACAAATCATCTGGGGTAATGCATCACATATCATATACAGGGATTGATGAAAATGCTGCATTAATGCACTATATTCCTTGCAATTTGCACAATTTGAGCTGTGCATTGTTAATAGGGGATACTACATTGAATATTATCACATAATATTTTAAATATGTGCTATGTTTTAATAAAATATCTATAAATCACTCTGTATATATACTCACCTATATTTTTGGATTTTATGGATACCCTGTACTCTTGATATTGGATGAATTATATCCCTACTCTGTAGATAGCAATTGGACCACTTGATCCCCAGAGTAATAGGGAAGAACCACCTGGATATAAATGAGCTGTGACAATTTACATATACCTGCAAACATATCATAATCTAGTTCTGCACAACCTAACTGGCTGTTGTAAATACTCCAAATAAAACCTTGAGGAAACCTTGGCATTAAGTCAGTGAAGGAAAGCTCTTCCTGGTCTCTCAGAGATTTTATCCAATTTAGTTCTGCCTATTAGTTAGCAAAACTCCTTCCAGCTGGTCCCCATCACTTCGCTTGTTCCACGAGGTCATAAGAGGCAATTCTAAGCAGTTTAATTCTTTAAAAACACACATACTTCAGATAACAGCTCCTGTTACTATTTGTCTTTCAACAATGAAAGAAGCAACTTACTCCTGCTCCTTTTTCAGGAAAGCATTTACAGCCCCCACTGTAGTCTTGGCTTCCACATGGCTTTCCATAGGATTTCTTCTCACCCTTTTTTAAAAAAAAAAAGGAAGTTGGTAAACCATGTGAAGGCAGAAGCAATGTTTCCCCAAGAAACTTAACCCTTAGCCACACTTCTCCTAACCAAGCAAATTTAAAGTGTCTTTAATCATCTCACTTGATGGTGTCATGAGTCACACAAAATAAAAAGTCATCTTAAGCTCGTGCCCTTTAAGTCAGTTTTTTAAAAATATTTTATTTATTTGTTTTTAGGTGGGGAGAAAGAAACATCAATGTGCAGTTGCATCTTGTGCACCCCCTCCTGGAGACCTGGCCTGGAACCCAGGTATGTGCCCTAACCAGGAACTGAATTAGTGACCCTTTGTTTAGCATGCCGGTGCTCAGTCCACTGAGCCACACCAGTCACATCAGCCAGGGCTTAGGTCAGTTTTATATCTCACTAAATAGCCAGTTTGGTAGCCCATGCATGGCTCAGATATCCCCTTATTGGTAGAAATTGTAGTCACAAAATACAAGAGACTTTCTTTACATGGGGCTCAATGTAGACCCTTGACATATTCCTGTGCCCCACTGGACTTATGTATTTGCCCTCATTGGGAAAGCAGTAGATGTAATGGAGAACTTGAGAAAATTCAAGTGCTGGAAATGTAATGATAGATGAAAATGGGCACCCTGTATTCTGCTCTCAGAATTGTTCCCCTGAAGCTCCACTTTTAACACTCCATTCAAACCTTACAGTGACACCACTGTGCCCAGTTATTCAGATCCAAATTCCTCAGGTGGTATTGTATAGTATCCCTCGAACTCTCCAACTTCTTTTTTTCTTCTCTGCTTTATGATGATGATGATGATGATGATGATGATGATGACGATGATGATGATTAGCTGAATTTCTATAAGACACCCACATGACCTGACATGTGCTGACCCTCTCCAATCTCATCTCCTCACTCTCCCTTGCTTACTCTGCCTCAGTCACAATGGCAGTCATTCTATTCTTTAAATACTTAAGCCTGTTTCTGCCTTAAGGCCTTTGCCCTAGCTGTTACTTCTGCCTGAAATATTCTTCCCTTAGATATCTTTTATTGCTGGCTTCTTTGTGCAGGTCTCACTTTAATCCTGACCACTCAACCTAAGGTAGCCCCCAGTTACTTCCAATCGTATCAATAGGTTATCTTTCCCACATTAAACGTTCTGTCTCCCCCCAACTATAATGTAAGTTCCATGTTAATGGGGACCTTACATGTTGTCCAACATTGCATCCTTAATGTCTAAAACAGTGGATGGCACATAAGGAATGTTTGGTGACCATATGAAGGGAGCTGGAATTTGAACCCAGGTCTGATTAACTCCAAAGTCTTGACTTTTACCCTTATGCCTTAGTGTTTTCTAAGTCCTTTGTCTACCAGACCCTTAATGTGAAAACTAAAAAATGAGGAAACTGCCATTGTGACCCTCTCTACCTAGGAAAAAAAGTAAAACATAAATTCTAACTATTATCAGTGATAAGAACTTTATCTCTGGGATGGATTTAGTATTATCTAACTTTTTTGTTTAATGTTGGCAGTTTTTTTACAAAAGAGAAAGGTGTATTCATGAGCCAGACTCGCCCTTACTCATTCTTGCCTCTTTGTACTGTGAGCCTTTTCTGAATTCCCAGGGAGCATTGTGAATTTCTCAGATGGTCTCTTATCACTTTAGACATTCCCAAAACACTTTATCACCACAACACCTCAGTAATAAGGTAGTGATGGCAGAGCTATGGCAAAATATTGCTATTTTAGATTACAAACACCATCCTGACATATTTTATCTCTCTTATATGGCTTTGACATGGTAAGTGCTGTTGTACACTTTGCAGTTTTCCTTCCATTTTATGGGATATAGGACAGGCAAGTTTTCATAAGCATGAGATCAAGGAGTACTATGGGAGGAGGAAGCTGGGGGCTGATAGAGAAGAGACAGAGTAGCATTGAATTTAGCCTTCACCTATGTTCTCATTTTATCTAATGTTGAGTACTATATTTCTTCAGACAATGGATAATTAGTATTTGCTTTTCCAAATATTTCTGTACTGCCCAGTCTTCAATGAGCACATATAATTAATAAGAATAAAAAAACAATATGTTACTAAATGATAAAAGCTACCCTCTTCAAATAGAGAGAACTGAACAGTCATTGCCAAAGTTGAAGTGGTATCTGTTTGGAGCTATGGCCTACTTACAAATAATGACTTTTGAGTGTCCCATAACATCTGACTATTGTGAACCAAAAGTCTCCAGATCTCTAGCATGGAGCAAGAAGGCCTGAGGTAAGAGAGCTGAATAAGGCAGGGAAAAACCTCCCAACAGCAGGAGCTGAACAAAAATGTAAGGAGCCAAAATTATGGTTTCTTGGGAACTTGGCAGGAAAAAAAGGCAAAGACATCCATCTAATAGACAGGAAGCCATCACTGTCTGCTGTTACTGAGGGAAGTAATAAGAGAAACCTCTTCTGGCCACAAGCAATTTCCTGTAATGCTAGCTCTGGCAGTTCCCCCAGGAGTCTTCAATTACAGGGAGGGGAAAGGCATAAAAGGAGTGGCTTCCAGGGGACATGAGAAGACCAGGCCCTGAGGAAGTCTCTGTCCTAGCCTGGTTTGTCTGGGGTCACTCCAACCCCTGCTTTATGAGGTCATGTCACTGATGTCATTCCCACACTGGAATGCTCTCTCCATTTCTCTCAAAATTCAACCTTAATTCCATATTCTTTATACTATTCAATATCTTTCAAGGCCAAACTCAACTTCCACTTCTTCCATGACCACTCCAGCTCAGTGAAAAGACTCAGCACACATTATATGTCCCACTTATTGGGCAAGTGTCATATCCTGTAGGACATTCCTCGCAATGTTCCTTAGGTTGCATGACTGAAGTCTTGTTTTTTCAACCAAACAATAATGCCTATAAAGGAAAGGTCAACCTATTTTTACCTCTTTTTATATCCCCACAATGTTAGAAGCAAACTATGTTCTAGCCCTTACCTGAGGCAATGTACCTTAGTAAAGCATATAGGCTCCAGAGTCAGTCTGCATAGGCTTAAATCCCAGCTCTAATATTCCTGAGTTGGGTCACCTTTGGCAAATGACTTAATATCTTTGATACCCAGTTCTGAATCTGTGAAATTTGGATGGCAACAGTATTTACTGCATAGGGGTTAACTGGAGTGTTCTATAAGAAAAAGCATGCAAAACACAGTGCCTGGCTCAGAGTGAGCACTCAGTGTCAGCTATTATTATTATGTTAATATCAGCCATGCCATACTATTCAGCATTTCTATAACACTAAGACTCTAGTCTCTCTTTGGAGCTGATAATGAAGTTTCTATTGTAACAATATGGTCATCCTAGTTTGTTTATGGATGATGTCTACTCTAATTGGTTAGGATAATATTTGGATTTGTTGATATATCTGTATAACTGATTGTTAAATATTTTAAATATCACCAGTATTGCTCACATCTCTCCTTTTGCTGATGCTGCTTCTTTTGTATTAAATTCCTTTCCTACCCCCTTTTGCCATTTCCCACAATACCACAAACCTAATTTCTACTCATTCCTCAAAATCCAGCTCAATCACCATACTCTTGGTGAAGATCCCCCCTAACCTGCCCAATTTTTCCCTCTCAGCAATTTTAGGCAGATCTTATTCTTTCCTCTTTGCTAATGGTACATTGCCATACTTGACTCCATCTATTTGGTTCTGCCTTCAGACTGGAAATAAGACTTTTTTATTCTTCACTCTTTCCCTTGCACAAGCAGGTGATGAGTAAAGGAGTGTGAAATAATTGCTCTCAGAACAATTGATTACCAGCATTAGGCCAGCTCCACTCAGGATTCTCCCTCTCCCTTTGGTTTCCTGAAATAGAGTTAACTCATAGTGTCCCTTCTCCAAACTAGTGTGCTTTTCCACTCATTGCCAGTACTTTCTAGCATGAGCAGTAGCAGAGGTGACAATAACACAAAAGGTTACCCAGGAAGCTGGAGATGAAATATAAGAGCAACTTAGCTGGAGTGATTGAATGGTTGGCAAAGGTGATCTATCCTTGTGAGCAATTTCTCCAGAATCTTGGGTCACAAAAAGCTTGCTGTACCACATTGTATTTTGACCATTCACTCAATATTTATTAAGCACCTACTATGTACTAGGCACTGTGCTACACATAGGGGATAGAGGCTGTATCATAGAGCCACTAGTGAAACCAAATCCCTGCTCTCATGGCACTTACAATCCAGAGGGAGACACTCAGTAAAAAAATTTACATCCATATTTGTTAGATGATATGTGTTATGGAGGAAAATAGAGCAGGTTAAGGGGCATAAAAAATGTTGGGGTCAGTTTGTTTTTTTTAACCTGGGTAGTCAGGGGAGGCTTTGCTCATAAGGTGACTTTTGAGCAGAGAATAGTGCTTCTCAAAGCAATCAACCTTGGGCTTTTGCAGCCCTGAAAACTCATTAGAAATGCAAATAATTGCTTCTCAATCATAAACTTTAGAATAGAGCCCAGAAATCTGTTTTAATAAGCCCTTCAGGTGATTGTTATGCAAAGTAAAGTTTGAGAACATCTGTGAGTGATCAAGCTCTGCAGTAATCTGGGGAAAGAGTGTTCCAGGCAAAGGGAAAATTAAGATCAAAGGTATTAAATAAGAAAACATACTGGATGTTTTGGCTGAGCAGCAAAGAGGCCAGAGTGCTCGAATGGAGTGTAAAGGGATTAGAGTTGATGATGAAGTCAGAGGTGTAGTAAGGGCCAGGTCATGTAAGATTTTATAGACCATTGTAATAAATTTGACTTTGGAAAAACGCTGAATTCTGAATTGTTTTAAATTCATGGGAGTGACATCTACTAATTTACTTTTTAAGATGAATCACTCTAGGTGCTATGTGAAATGCAGTGTGGCAAGGGTGGAAGCAGGAAGACCATCTAGGAGACTGTCATAATCCAGAGAAAGGAGAATAATGATTTGAATCAGAGGGGGCAGTTGTAGAGACT